GTATATTTGGGGGTTTTGTTCAAGAATTTCAAAAGAGGATTGCGGCCAAGTGAAAAGCCTTCGGAGTTTGGTATCCAAGGAAGTAGCGAGAGAACGACGAATCAAATTGAAAGTGCTTGTGTTTAATAGATACAATTGGTCATGCTGAAAGAGCTTTGGAGTTTTGTATCCAAAGGAGTAACAAGATTCGATAAATCAATTGGTAGCTTTTGTGTCTTGGTCTTGCTCAAGATCAAAGGAAGAGAAGGGGTTGAATCAACAACAAATAGTTAGGGTTTGTATGGTTGTTCTTGGAACACTTCTCCTGAAATCAACTTTTTTGTATAGTAAGAAATTATCCTAATTACACAAATTAATTGGTGGGAGACATAACCATAACGAGGACGATTGGTGAACTTCCTAAACAAATCATTGTGTCTCTCTCTCTCTCTCTTATATCTTTACTTGCTTTACTTTTCATTAAGCAATTTGTTAAATAGCATTGTTTGATCGATCGACTCGTAAGAATTTTTCTGTGACTGTTTTTGTTTTGAATTGGTTATTGATTAGCTTATAATCACTTTGATTATAAGTGTTTTTTCATATCAACACAACTCAAAAAAAATTCTGAAAATTCGTTCGCACACCAAATGTTTTGACAAATTATATTATTCATTATTTTTTGTAAATTTCATTGGAAATAAATTTCTAGTGAATTGTTATAAACGAATAATAATTGTTGATTGTTTCAAGTGTATATAAATTTAGCTTATTGATTAATTTATTCCATATGGCTTGTTACATATCTGGGTTCCATAACTAGGTTCATATAGACGACTTTTATTGATCTATATCAAAACCTTCCGCTTACACTCTTTTCAAATAACTTTTTTTAAAACTCCAATTTTAATTGGTATTTTGACTTGGTGATCTATTCACCCCCTATAGATAAGTCACCGTCGTCTAACAACTTCATCAACATGCAGTCTGAAGCCTTTGATGATTAGAAAATAATATCAAAAAGGTTTTACGTGAGGAAATAATACACAGTACAATATCAAATATTCCTTTCACTACACTGATTTTATGGAGAAAGAATTGTACTATTGTACCATTCCTGTTGACCATTATGGAATGATACAACTACGCATTTGTGGAATTCCATCTCCACCCTCCAACTGATCTTTCTAAGCCTATATAAAGAATAATTAAAAGAATGGATTAACTAGAAATTTGCTACAACAATTTTTAATGAAGTTGAACAACATTTTCTCAAGATCTTGAATGTGAATATTATAATTTTGTGAGATAAGGAAAAGTATCAAGCAAGGAAATTTTGTTCATACACTTTCTCTAAGACACTTCTGTGTTAATCATTGTATTTCATTTGTGTAATATGATTTATAGAAGCATCTTTGTAAACACACTATTGTATCTCAACTTTTGAGTTGTTATTCATTGATAGACTAGGGTATAGTCAAAATTTCTCAAGAAGACATTGACAATTAGTATTTGTGTTTGTAATCAAGTTTGATTATAGTGGATTAAGTGCTTGTGAGAAGGAGAAATCACCTTGGAGGGTGGATTGAAAGTAGCTTCGTTAACAACGAATCAGGATAAAAATATTGTATTCATTATTTTTATTCTAAATTATTTGTTTTTTGTCTTGGATAGCGAAAAAGTTTCAATACAGAAACTTAATTGTACCCGCTCTTTATTGTGTTTCTTTTAACTTCAAGGACGTGATCACTTGGTCTGAGTTATTCACTTCATCCATTAAGACAAACTCCCCATTAGCCTCGTCATCAACTTCCTATACTAGCTTCTCATCCTAGATATTATTGAATGGCCCAATATAATCACTCATTTACCTTCTCGATAGACCGGTAAGAAGAATGTAGAGACTCAATGTGTGACTACTTCAAGTTAGCTAGCAACATTTCCACGATAGATATATGACTCTTAGCCACATCTTTAATACTTATTAGTTCAACCTCAACCTGGGATATCGCGTCACCCTATTTTTGTTATAAACCTCCGATATATTTTTTATTTTTCTCCTGCATATTCTACCTCTCTTTTTCCATATTTTCCATAAAAAGTTGAGCATATGTATACATCTTCTCTAGAGAGAACAAACTCTCATTGGTTGAACTCAATAGGTTCTGGTTCAACTTAAAATCTTCCTTCATTTTTGTAAGGTAAAACATCTAGCATTCTTCATTATTATGCACTAAGTCGAACTCCTCGAACATCACTCTTCCTAACACACCATCTATTTGTTGTAATTTATTGAAAATTAATTACAAATGAGTGTTCTAAAATGACAAGATAATGAAAGTGAGTAAATATTCATAAATGTATGAGAAATAGTCCTACATAAGAAGATTCATTCACTTTGAATGTCTTTATAAATGAGTTAAAAGCATTAACTCTACAAAAGAATAAAAGAGGATAAAATGTCACATTGACTGAGCAAAACATTGTATCATTCAAATTCAAAGCTTTAACTAACACCATCTATGCTTCATTAAGTTTGTCTAAATCATAACCTGTTCAATAGATCAAAAATCAGTGTATCTCACCCTCCTAAAAAATAACATGTGGATAGTCTATATTACCTCGTACTTCGAAATTTTTGTAATTAGAAAGGTATGGAATAAGAATCTCTTTACTATGGATTATACTAATTGAAATTCAATTATCTTTGATGGTGCCTTTTATCCCTTGTAGAGATAGAAGAATTCATTTTCAACTCCTTAAGGAAGCCTCATGTAGGACTTCTTGATTTCCATGCAAGGCTTCAACAAAACACTTTCTCGTATCCTGAATTATAAATATATAGGCATATGCGAAAAGAATTTACATAGGACTTATTTTTATACATAGTGGTAATGGTTAACACCTCGTCACAAAAGACGGTCATGCTTTCATCCCAAGTCTCCATAAAAAATCTCGCAAATCTTGGATAAAAAGATACCGAAAACAACGTCATTGTCGATATTATTGTCGTCATCAAAGATACTAGAACTATGATCATAACTCCCAACCATCTCCACTTAAATGAACCTCTGATTCACTTTACCATCTAATTGCTTGGAACTATCAACATAACAAAACCAAATGTCTTATATCTCCTCGTAAGTGCCATGCTCGACTACATTAGCACTAGTGTCGCAATTCCTAATGAATTTTTTCCTCTAAATATGAAATGAAAAAGATAAATAAATGGAAGGATGGAAAGAAGAAGTAGTTGCAAAGGCGTTTGCAAAAGGCGACAAAATAACAAGAGGAAGTGGTTACAAAGGGAAACGATCATTAAACAAGTGAACCATGAAAAAATAAAAAATAAAAATGTTACGGTATTCATAAATCACAAGCCTAATAGCCATCATTGTGTGACATAGCATCAAGAGCTATTACTCGTAGGCATGCAAACTAGTGGATGACTCAAGATTAAGATTAAATGGTTCTTACCGATATAAACTTAATCATGACAACTTTAAAGTAAAGTTCAAAGGGTTTTCGAAATCTTTTCACTTAGGCTTTCTTTGCGAGTTTGAAAGAAAGGGGAAAGAAAGGCTTTCGAAAATAAATTTTTTAAAAAATATAAGAGAATATTTGATATTTTTTGAAAAATGATTTTGTAGAGAATAATAAAGTAGTGTTTATAATTACTATATTTTTTAATTTTTAAAATATTATAATATAAAATATATTTGGAAATTTTATGTAAGCCCATCAAAATCTCTCATTCAATACAAATTTTGAATTTTCTCAGATTAAGGGGTTTTTCATGTTATGAATAAAAATAAACCCTTCAAAACCCTCCTAACCAAAATTCTTCATTTCTTTCCACTAAATCCTTCTCCTTTTCAAAGCCCCCCTTTCTTCCCCTCCAAACTCTCAAACAGAACCTTAGTAAATCAAACAGTCTCTCCTAAATCAAACAATTAAAATTGACCACGTCCTCAATCTTGTAAGGCCAATAGTCTTGCAAACTGGTCTACCATAATCATTTTGTCCTTATAAGCCTCGTACTTGAGAAATCGTGAAACATCATATATTTTACCTGATCACTTCGCCTTCACATGTCTCGTTCTTGAGAGAATATGAATCTTCATATATCTTACTTAATCACTTCACTCTTGCATACCTAGTGTTTGAGAGATTGTGGACCAATGTATTTGTAATGACTCAAACCCACTTAGCATAACATACCTTGGGCCATTTTCTCTAGAGCACATTGAACACTCAGAGATTACTTAAACTAGAATATGCGAGGTGAAGCCAACCCCGAGCCATAATTGTTACTCCTCCATTCTTTATTATAACCAAATTTTAACTTTTTAAGTTAATTTAATAATTGATGTATCTAACCTATATATAGTCTAAATGCATCATTTATTCAATAAATTTAAAAAGTCAAAATTTGCTTATAAATGAAAATGGAGGAAGTACCTCGCCACAATATGTTGTGTGCGAGAGATCATTGAACTAGGAGGTTGGCTTGACTTTGAAGCAAAAGAAAACTCACCCTCGAGTCATGTAACAATTTGGGATATGAGTTGTGCAATTGAGACTTAGAATGAATAATAAGATAATAAATGGCGATAACAATGTAACGACTATAACGAACGATTAAGACTAAGAAAGTTATATTAAAAAAAACAACTAAAAAAACAACAGAATAGAATAAAAAAGATCATAACTTATTTTCACATATCAATCGTATTGAGACTTTCCTTGTTGGCTATAAGTTAAGACCAACATATAATGTAATTTCATAATATCTTTAAACATGACTTTTATACATACCTATTGTTGGTTTTAGTCACATTCAACATCAACTATACAATAATTTCGACAATTTTCTTTGCCTGAAACATTTTTCAAGTGTATTGTTTAAAAACCAAGTTGACATAATTTATAACGTGTCCATGCTAAGCTAAGTTACCACATCACAAAATTATGGCTAGTTTTAAATCACAAAATTATGGCTAGTTTTAAATCACTAAATTATGGGTGAAGGGGTGAACGACAGTCGTTCTGCAGGAGGCAACTTCGATGATTCAATTGAGATTTCCTCTGACAGTCACAGGTACAATAGTTTGTAAGATTATCAAGTTATTATGGATGTTGAACTGTTAGTTTTGATGTTATATGTAGGGCTAAGCGTCAATAACATTAGAAGAAAACCATTTGTAACTGTTGTATTATGATATAATGCAGGCCGTATACTTCGATTATTGGACCGCTTAAAGAGGAGATGTGGTCCAAGCTTGTAGAGTCTCTGGAGGTTTTTTCCACACACATGTGGTAAGTTCAAGAGTTAAGACATAGTTAAGTACAGTTTTAACTGCAAAATATGGTGTTCCACACTAAGTTCAATACTGGTGTTGTGCACCAAATACCAGCACGTGTAGTGGAGAATTGTTTTGCTGAACAACCAAGTTCAATATTGTTGAATGATGAGGAACTTGGTGAGGAGCATCAATGTTTTCTGAAGAGGAGGGATACAACGAATGAGGCATTCCTTGCCAAGGGCTGGTACAAATTCGCCAAAGGAAAAAAATTAATGAAGGGAGATATCTTGAGATTCATTATTAGATATCCACCGGTGGAGGAAATCATCGTCCATGTCGAGCGTGGGAATGGAAATCCTTGAAGACAGATGAATGGTTAGGATTGTGTTGTTGGGGACAAATCAATGTTTAGCCCGAGAATGAATCCGCAATTGTTTTGAAAATGATGTTGTAGTTCTTACTAATGTTGCAGTAATTATTAACATGTAATGTGTAATGTATAATATTTTGATAGATGCAAAGAAAAACATGTAATATGTGGTAGTTAATAGTTGGTTTTGGAAACGTGTAAAGGCTATTATGGGCCTATGTTGTATAACTATACTAAATTTGTAATGGTATTTTTTTGCCAAGTATAATATTAATGATATTTGTGTTATGTTTACCTCATGTGTGTATTTAACCCAATAGTTGTAGTAATGTTGTGAAAGAACAATATAAAACGGTGGTGGAAAATCAACTTCAATTGGAAATTTAACAGGTAGAAAGGAATATGACTTAAAGTTTGACTTGTTAGTGTAGTTGGGGTCATATTTAAATATGAATAAGTGCAGCAGGATAGGCCCCCATGTTTTTGTCCTTTATATATTTGTATGTTGGATGTTAAAGTAAGCAAAAGATTCCAATGCTATAATTTGTCACACATAAGTGGATTGTTTGGTTGACAACATTAAAGACATTATGCATAAAGATCAAAAACTACCCTTTGCTTGAATTGATTAACAGAGTGAATCTATCAATTACTGTTGGCACGTGAAAATTCCCACTACATGAGTAATAATTGAGCGGCTGGTGGAGAAAGAAAAAATGATGAGATCCAGGTCTTACTGTTGTTGTTAAACCTAAAAAAACGGTCATATACTAAAGTTGCCAAGGTGAGTTCGCATGAGACATGGAGAGATTTGCATGTGACATTCAGAACCAATTGGTAGACATCTTTGCTATTGCAAAATTGTCCATCTAGGTAAGCTGCATAAAGGTTCTTTCCATGTAATGTTATGGATGCTATGTATGCATATAAGTATGAATAAATTGTATAAAGCTGTATTTTTGAATAGATCTGTAGTCATACGCAGAGATTGAGCCATTGTTTGCTAGAAAGCATAATGCAGATCTAGAGAGCACGTGGTCGATTGTATACAACGAAGGTATAAGTCATCGAGTGGTTTATAATGAAAATGAGGATCATCCAGTGCTATTGTCAGAGTGGAAGGAGCTTCAAAATCATTACTTACTACCTGATGATGTCATGGTCATTGTGGGTTATTACGGGAAGAACTTGTTTGAAGTTGTAGCATTTAAAGAGATTAACAGATTTGAGGACTTACTGAATGTTCATAGTAGGCTTACCAACCACAAAGGGATATACGTTTTTGATGTCCAGTTGACACCACTCAATGTTTCGTCAATATTTTTAGTTGAGTGTAACATGCTATTTCAAGTAATATGGTATGACGTACGTATGGACGACAACGTTTGACTCACTGGTATCATTATTATGTTTGTAGAAACTGTAGCCTGAATTTGCTGGTGTATTGCGAGCCTATGAGTACGAGGTTTTGGTACTATGAGGGGACAATGGAACTAGTGAAATGGTATCAATTCTGTATCCACACGATCAAAACTGTACAAAGTTAGTTCATGACTAGGATGAAGTTTGCAAGTCTAACCACTTTAAAGGAGGCAAAGCTATTAGATTCAGATTGAATGTTACCGACGAAAACAAAACATGTCACGTATATCAGGTTAGTTCCACGCTACTGTAATTTTTATCAGTTAATGAATAGATGTATCCATGAATTTCATCCTGAATAAAGCATACTTATGTACTGAGTTAATACATACTGCATTGTTTAAAATATATAAATATCAATTGGGGCAGCATCCCATAAGGAAGCCTAATTATAACAGCGTGTAATCCTACTGAAAGCGTAAAAATATGAAAGATTAAACGCAATTTGAAATGATGCCCCAATCAGATATTGTTGAAAACTTCCTTGTGTTCATCATGAACCAACACTTTAAATCCTTTCTTGCTGGTAACTCTCAAAAGTGCAACATAGATTTGGTAATGAGTAAATACGTCTCTTAGAATGTAAAGGCCCACCCAATCCGACGACTGACCTTGTGATTTGTTAATCGTCATCGCATAGAAGACAATGATAGGGAACTGCCTCTTGTTGAGTTTGAAAGACCACGGAGATTGAAAAGAGGACATATTCATCCTTGGAATATATACGACGTTGTCATGTTTTTTGGTCCCCCCTAATAAGGGCCTCAAGTACGTGCGTCATCATCTTAATCACAATAAATTTTATACCATTATACAATCCTTTGGACTAATTGATGTTTCTCATTAATAAAATTGATGCACCGATCTTTAGTTTGATGTGATGGTTAGGCAAAATTATGGCTAGATTTAAATCACAAAATAATAACTAGTTTTAAATCACAAAATTACGGCCAGTTTTACTGTAACCTTACTTTCCTTAAAAGTTGTTTGCAAGTGGTTGCTATTGACCTTCGAAGCATGGTTTTTAGGCAGCGTATAGTATGGACCACCACTATATGTGAGCCATTGGATCATAGAGGCATAGATCATAGACTGTGTACTAAAATAGTTTATCTTTTGCAACACTCCATGCCTCATCGTATTGAGTCTATGAAAATAGACTAAAGACATCAACAACATTGTAGTTTTGCCTGCACTCATATTGCAGCATTTTTGTAATTGATTCATTTGAATAGTGTGCAGGTTTTTAAAAAATGATTAATTGTGTTAATTTATTATTATTTATTAATTTTAAATAGTGAAATAGTTAATTAAATTTAAATATAATAAATAAAAATACAATACTAGAAAAATAATGAGTAAATTATTAATATTTTAAAATGACAATAAATTTAACATAGATGAAATGAGTTGTTTCATTTACATAGTATAATGTCTAGTTCTCAAATAGATGAGAAAATTTTAAAATTAATTTGACAATTTTTTTTCCCTTTAAATTTTTCTCGGAGTTTATTATGGTCTCTTATTTTTAAAAAGTTTGAAAATGGTTCTTTAAGTGTTCAATAACACATTAACTTCGATAATTTGTTAATTACAAAGTATCAGCATTGATTAATCGAAACAAAGATAATAATTACAATTGAGGTTTTCGTTTTCAACCTGCAACTTCACATGTTACATAACTTTTCAAATTGAGTTATTGAGCTATTTTGAAATAAAGTGTTGTAGTTATTTAATTGTTTAAGACATACAAGCAAATATGTGCTGGCCTAGTGGTTGGAATGTTGTTGAGTAATAAAATAAACCTGTGTTTGAATCCTGGCTTAATACAAATTTTTAGGATTTTTCTTGAAATCTTAGTGACTTTGAAGATGACTGTATGTCAAGTCACATGCCACGCGTACAAATAGACGCCACTTTAGATGCTAGCATGGACCGTTTGTGGCTATAAGATCAAATCTCATAACCATGCCTAGATATCTCACTTTGCAGGCCTCTAAACCCACAAATCTCTCCATAATCAGTCGATTTCACTTGCCTTGTGGCTATTATCCACTTGATTCAAGCTTTATCTAAGATAATTTTCTATTAATGACACAAAGACACCATTGCCATTCACATAAAGAAAGCTTTTTGCAAAAGTCAATGTATTGAGCTCCTCATTTGTTTTCTCTGATCACACTCTATCCTAAAGAGAAGAAGTAACCTCCCTGCACCCAACAAACATCAGAGCACACTTGTACTTGATCCTTGAAACCACCATTTTCACCATAACTTGATATTTCACTTCCAACCAAGCCATAACTTGACATCTTCAGATTGCAACCAACATAATCCCTCTAACCTTTGCCTATAAATATAGGGTTCATTTGCAGTCCAAAACACCAATGGACAAACCCTCTAAACCTATCATACACTCTCAAACCCGAATTGGCCATAAAACTCATTTCTTGAGTGTTCAAAATCCATTTCTTTGAAACACTCAAACCTTGCAACTTTTGTCCAAACAAATCATCCAAACACTTCATATACATCATTTATAAGTGACCTAAACCTCTGTTTTCCCTTGTAACTCCATTATCAACATTTACCATTTTGAAAATTCACCTTTGCAACTTGACTTGGATAGACTGATCCAGACACTCTCGAGGAAAAGTGAGAGTTACAACATACTCACTAAGGTCCCAGGAAGCTAAAGCAATCATCACATTACTTCAGGAAGTCGTGAAGAGGACATTGGCTTTTGGCATCAAGAGGTAAGTTTTTCAAACTTTGAAACCTCTATATAGGCATCATTTGCATATGCTTTCTAAAGGAAAAATGGATATATCATATCCATGAAACTAACCATATCGTTAGTTTTCGTTTTAATGGACTGTGTGATGAGAATTTTGGGTGTGAATTTTCAGAACCATTAGGGTTTCAGTTTGATACCAAGTAAAATTCGTCCTAATCTTTGATTTATAGCTTTTAAAAAAATACATGGTTGAATTCCTTGTCAAAAATTAAGCAAGTTTGGTCTTTACAAATTTCAATTTGGTTAAGAAACGAGCATTTTAAAAAAAAAAAGTGAAGTTATGTTGTTGTTAATGTAAGCGCGCGAGGAAGAAGAAAGTGTTGTCCTGGAAATTTTAAATTTTCCATTGTAGGGTTGTCATATATTTAATGGGTGGCGTTTCATAACCGAATAAAACAGTCACCCCAGTGCTAAACTGTTATGGACTGGCCCGACAGTTTGGTTGGGCCCAATATAAGACATCTCATGGGTACCGGACACTAACGGTGACCCGAACTTCCCACACCTGTCGGGAAATATCACCCTCTTGCCCTTCTGGTCCAACACCGATCCAAGATGCACGTCGAGCGTCTTCTCAGCCTGCCCGACATCAGCGCCGTGTAGGCCACCAGGAACCGACCAGAGAGATGCCCACAACCAGCCTCCTACCCGGAACCAACGGCTAGTTACGAGCACATCTATCCGGTTTGACCAAGTCCTGGCAGTTTCCTAATTTTACCGACCCGCATATGTAGACTGGAAATCAGGAACCAATGGCCACGCACCAGGGGCACTATATAAACCCTCACACTTGTGAGGGCCATTACTACTCACTACCTGATATTCTGCTAGTACCTCCTCGCTCCCATCCTTACTTTATCGTTGGAATACCTTGTAAGTATAACCCCCTCTCTCCTCTGCCCGACTGAAGATCATCCTCCAGCCACTCTCCAGGTTCTGGTCAACCGCAAGATCAATGTCGCCGTCTGTGGGAATCTACTGTCCCCATCTTTCTTCCCTCGGAACCTAAGATCAAAGCAACTCTACTTTCAAGAACCATCTCTCCTATCATGGCCGACCATAATGATCTCTACCTGTCCGGAAAGATCATCCTTTTCCCCGTTTGCAAGACTGATGGAGGCCAGGAACACCCTCGACTTGAGGAAATCCTGGGCCCCCGTGACGGATAAACTGCGTCCTCTAATTTCGTTGATGCCCAGAGTGGTGACAATCAACTCTTGGACGAAAGGCGTTCCAAAAACCCTGCTGAAGAGCTCCCAAAAATCTTGCAACCGATGCTTATCCCTGTCAACGCCGATCGGGCCATGGCAGAACTGCTCGCTGCCCTGAATCAGACCAACACCCCTATCCTTCAACAAAATAAGAGGATAAGAGCCTTAGAAAATCAGCGTTCAAGATCTCCTCCCCGGAGGACCCGAAGACAGAGTTCCCCCAATGCATCACCAGACAGGCATGGTCCACCACCCAAGAAGGAAAGGCGCGATGTTTCTTTCTTCAAGAAACGCAATCGCACACCCCCTGCCCGAGATTAAGACCCCCCTTCATTTAAGAAGAGGAAGGACAACAGGCAGGTCGACCGCGCTCGACTGCCCTCTCCTGAGCCAAAGTAGAAGCAAAGGAGCCCCTCCCCTCAACGGGACCGCGATGATCGACGAGGGATAAATTACCACTCTCCCCCTCCATCTCCCGGCAATAGCAAGGATGATGAGCCTTGTGGCCCTCTATCTCGGGAGATCACTAAAGCTCCATTCCCCATTGGCCTAGAGAAGTTGCCCACTCTATGGACCTACGGCGGCACGACGGATCCTGACGAGCATATTGAGAATATCAATGCGCTCCTCGACTACAAGGGGGTCCGAGGCACCATCAAGTGCAGACTCGTCCCTACTACTCTTGGGAAAAGGGCGATGGCCTGGCACAAAAGTTTTCCCGGCGAATCTATCACCTTGTGGAAATAACTCGGGTAAATATTTTCAAGGCACTTCACTGCCTCCCGCCGACACCCTAAATCAGAAGCGTCGCTCGAGGCAATCATACAAGGCAGAGACGAATCTCTGCAAGCGTACATAGAGCGCTTCAACAAAGAAGCGGTCCAGGTCCCAATAACGGAAAACATGAAAAAATACCTGCTCGAGCGCGGGCTCTATCCCTGCAGCGACTTTTCCAAGGT